TATACATGCAGCAGAAAGAGGTGGCAGAAATTCCACCCAAGGCAGCAGATTAGACAGCAACACTTTGGCTTGTATGTAGGGTATGCCGATTTTAATTCCAGCCGTCCCATAAAAATAACTCTTTGTAAACATAGGTCTAGTAGCAGATCAGGGAGAAACTTGATGAGGCCTTTACCTGTTATGTTTGGGTTTTTTCCCCCTTCTGGAAATTTTATAACAAAAATGAACATTGGAAACCACACCTCGAAGTGACACAGCCTATTCTATGAGTTCATTCTACTGCATATGCAGACCAGGGCAAGGGAAATAAGTTTCTAGGATGGCTCCAATCTATGACAAACACATGTAATAATTATGGGGGGAACACGTCTGCAAGCAACTCTGCCCACATAGTTGTGGGAGTTTAAATGTTACAGCCATGGCACGAGATCAACCCATGGATCCCACTGTGGGGCTGCAATATGTGAAGGAAAAAAGAAATGTCCCAACTGGGAGTTGGTGATTGAATCACAGCACCAGTTGCCTGCACACCAACATCATGATCCCCTGCATTCTGTAACCTTGAGTTCCATCTGTAGATTGTTTAAAGGCACGGCTTCCAAACTCTAGTTTCAAATGGAGCTTCAGCTAATAACTAGCGGACCATTTAGAAACAAATTTAAAATGAGACCATCTACTGATGCAGGCCCCCTGGGATCTGAATTTATTTAAGCTTGCGGTTGTGGTGTGAAACCTCCCTGTGCATCTGAGGCTGGATGAGAGAATAATAACAAAAGTGGCTATTCGGCAAACAGTGTTTCTGAGCCTCTAGACTAAATCCTCTGGGTGCCTTTGAACTGTCTTTACAAGAGCAGAGGCTGAATGGACCCACTTTGGTCCCTTTTTTCACTCATCATGACATTCCATCTGCTTATGAGGTCGGAAGAGGCACCGGGTGCAGCAGCCTAAATGACTTGAACAGAAGCTATCAGAAAGTAAATAAGCAGAGATTAAATCAGTTGCACATGGGAGAGAAGCTGACAATACAGTTGATAACAGAGGGCAAAAAGGAATAAAAAAAAAACCCTGTCACATCAGGACATAGGATTCCGGGATCAAAATTTCCCACGATGCAGCTCAGTGCTCCAAATCCCAAGATATATTGGCACACATAACTTCCAGAGTAAATCATTCCACTGTTTTTCAATGACAACTTATATCTAGTACGTGTCTGTGCAGCTGAAAGGTGTAGTGCATTAATGGTACTACTTTTTTTGGTCCAGAAGTTTGGTGGAACCCTGGAGGGGGGTACACTGGGGGAGGAGAGTGAGATAATGTTTCATTGCACCAGCACAAATCCTTATGTTCATGGAATGTTTACAGAGCACTGTGATGGATACAGTCAATGGTAAAGCTCATACACTCCCCCCACCAGCTTTTAGAGGCCCATGAACTTTAGCAACAACTGAAAGTCTCAAGTAGACTGTACTATACTGCTAGTACAGGAACTATACTATCCTAGCATAGGATCAGATTCAGAATAAATACTTTGGAGTTATTTTTTCCTTTGAGCAGCAGGCTGAAATAAATTACTATGCAGGATATTCTACCAACAGCCATTCACAGTACTCTTTATGTAAATTCCGTTCATGAGTTTTAATGCTAGATTACAAAACAGATGCAGCAGTAGATAGAGGATGGGCCTCCAAAACAGCCTTCCCATGTCAGAATTTCCCCTCTTCCTGTAATGTGTAGTCTCATGGGGAGAGGAGTCACTGTAAATTGTTGGCAGGAGAGAATGAATTGAAGAGGGATGAATTTTGCATATTGATTCCAGGGGGAGAGAGAGAGAGAGAGAGAGAGAGAGAGAGAGAGAGAGAGACTGAGACTGTTGGCTGTCCCTCTTATTTTGATACGATGTCAGATACAGCCCTGATCCAATAAGAGAAATGAAATCCCACAAGGTGGTAGAACAGCCAACATGATTGTCCATTACATCTGCTCTACACCATTTGAGGTTGAAGGCAGGGCTTTTTTTCCAGCTGGAACCCAGCAGAACTTAGTTCCGGCACCTCTCGGGTTGGCACCATTGTCATTATAAGAAAACAAGGGAGGTGTTCATGGTAAGCTCTGGCACATCTTTTTCTAGAAAAATAGCACTGCTTATAGGGTACCTATCTGGTCAATATTTTATGGGTTTATAACAACATGGCAGCATAAAAACAATATTCCAGGTTATATGGGAGTGAGCCCCACTAAAAGCACAGCACTATGGTGTACTTCTGAGTAGACATGTATATGAATGCACTGCTTGAGACCTGATCTCTCTCTTTGGACTCAAACAAGGCTTAGTCCATTCATGTATGTATAACGATGCTGATTATATGGCTGGAATCCAACAAAGTCATCTTGTTCGCACAAACACTTCAGTTTTAGCAATAAAACCTTTCCTTCTCCCCCTGCATGCCCCCCAAAATCGGTTCTGGAGTTCCCTCAACCTTCTGGCGAGGTTTTGGGGACACTCAATAGGGAGAAGAGTGGAAAAGGAATTTCCTTTGCACAATCAGAAATCCTTGCATGAACAGTGCGACATCATCAGATACAATCCTTTTTGTATAATAAATATTCAAGCCCCATACTATAGTATTTTTCTACAGTTGTATGCATTGTTGTAAGTATCTGTTTATCTGCTGGCTACTTGAGAAAGCCAGGAGTGTTTAAGTTTATAATTTGCATATAATATTATGCATATAGTAATACAAATATTACTATGTTTGTTTACAGTGGGGTGGGGGCTAGATGCTCAGCAAGATTAAGGAGCGAAAAAGAAATAATAATAAAAATTGTGGATAAAGCTTGACATTGAGATTTTCAGGAAAATGCCATCCCTAAAAATGAAGTTGCTTCTAGCAGCTGACTCATACTGGTCAGGAATGAAAGCTGATCTGATTAACTATTGTGCTTTGCAATGCTTTGAGAAAATTCAATAGCATGCTATCAGATAAGAACATACAGAGAGCCCTGCTGGACCAGGTGAAAAGTCCCATCCAGTCAAGCATCCTGTTTGCACAGTGGCCAACAAGATGCCTATGGGGATCTTGCAAGCAGTGCCTATCACCACTTGTGATCCCCAGCAACAGGTGTTCAGAAGCACACTGCCTCCAACAGCAGAGCTGGAGGATAGCTGTCATGGATAGAAGCCACTAATAGCCTTATCCTCCATGAATTTGTCTAATCCTCTTGGAAAGCCATCCATGTTCATGGCTATAACTACAGCTGGTGGGAGCAGATTCCATATTCTACCAATGTGCTGTGTGGATAAGTTCTTTTGTCCTGAATCTTCCAACACTTGTGATATCAAGAGTCTGATGTGCTGGAGCAATATTATCCTACAAACACGCTGCCTGGGTGCTCTCAATTACCTTTGGACAACACTTCTTCTAGCCCATCATTTTGAGGAGAGTGCACAGACCTTTCTTTGGCTGAGTTGTCTCCATTGTCTGATGGCTTTCACTTAGTCCCATTATTAACAGCTAGTCAGTGTCATGCTCAATTTAGCATTATTTAAACAACTGGGACAGAAAGTAAAATGCCCAAGCACTGCCACTAATTGCCATATGCTCATATATTTCATGACTTTGATTACAGTCACAAAAGGTTCACTCTAATAGGAAGGTATTTATTATTTCAAATCTATCTTCAGCTTTTTTCTTTCACACATTTTAATGGTTTCTTACCCCCCTCTTCCTAATCAGTGATCATGATGAAGAGAAGCAAGGATACATAAATGCCCTTCAGACACATGTCCCTGTATGTCTCGTTCATTTACTCCGGAACTACGTAGAGATGAATGTTTTGTTTTGTTTATTTGTTTGTTTATTAAATTTGTATACTGCCCTTCATCTGAAGCTCACAGGGCACTTCACAACATAAAAATAGAAAATGAAACAACAACAACAACCAATATTCCTCCTCCCACAAACACATTTAAAAGGCCATAGAATGTCAATCTGCCAAAGACCTGTTTATAGAGAAACATTTTCATCTGGTGCCTAAAGATATATAATGAAGTGCCAGGGGAGCCTTCCTGAGGAGAGCACTCCCCAGACAGAGAGCCATCACAGAAAAGGCCCATTCTCGTGTTGCCACCCTCTTATGGAGGGGGCACATAAAGAAGAGTCTGAGATTATGATTGCAGGGACTGAGTTGGTTCATATGTGGAGTAGTGGTCCTTGAGGTATTGTGGTCCTGAGCTGTTTGAGGCTTTATAGGTCAAAACCAGCACTTTGAATTGGGCCCAGCAAATAATAGGCAGCCAGTGCAGTCGGGCTAGGATATGTTCAAACTGTCTTGCCCCAGGAAGCAACCTGGCCGCAGGATCCTGCACCAGCTGAAACTGTCTCCAGAGACGTGTACAACATGCTGCAGTAATCTAACCTAGGGGTTATTAGAGCATAGATGACAGAAGTTAGGCTATCCTTGTCCGCAGGGGTGCAGCTGGGCCACCAGCCGAAGCTGATGGAAGGCACTCTGCGCCACCGAGGCCATCTGAGCCTCAAGTGGCAGCAAAGGACCCAAGCTATGTACCTATTGCTTCAGAAAAAGTGCAACCTCATAAAGAGCAATAACCACCTGGGAGTTTTCCATGGTTCTGATTTCTGTGAACCTGCTTAAAGCATCCTTACTGGATTGGAAGCAAATATATCAGACCAGAAGGAAAGAAACTTTGCCTGATGTAACTTTGCATAGCTAGAACTTCCCTTTTGGTGGAATAGGATAGTGGAGGCTGCATGGGTTCAATTTCTCTTCACCTCTTCAAGCATTCTTAGAGCATCTGATTAGGTATCCCTTACTCCATCCACTGTCTCTGTGCAGTGCAGCCCACCTTGACCAAGTGGTGGACTTTAAACTTCTGCCACTTTTGCATTGTGTAGATGAATGGGTGTAGAATCGTAGGATCACAGAATCATAGAAACCACAAAGGTCATCTAGTCCAACCCCGTGCAATGCAAGAATCTTGTTGCCCAACATGGGACTCAAACCCACAACCCTAAGATTAACAGTCCCATGCTCTACTGACTGAGCTTTCTAGGGATGGCTGCCTCTTAAATTAAGACTAGTTAATTCACAGCCATTATTTTCAAATGCAGTGACCACAATTCTATATGTAATGTGAACTATGTTATACGGCAGGGATGAGGAATCTGTGGCCCTCTAGCTGTTGCTGGACTGCAACTTCCATCATCCCTACCATTGGCCATGCTAGCTGGAAGCTGGAAGCCAACAGCATCTGGACAGCAACAGGTTCCTTATCCCTATTGTAAGGGCAAGAAGACACAACGTTAAAGCAGCTAGTTATTACACAGCATTAAAGCAGATAATTGCACTGTCCAGACCCAAGGCAGTTTCCTCACATACCTGCAGCAACCTGTCATGCAAAATGGAAGTGCAGTTTTCTGACCAATTCATACGAAAGTTGGTTTCTCACCTAGCTGCCTTAATTTCATGAATATATGCAGTATAAAAGATCCTTCCTTTCATGCAGAGATATTGTACGCATTAAGCCTTTGTTTCTTGCGGAGGTCTTTGAACATGACAGTTCTCTTACAATAAGAATTGTAACACTAAATTTGACATTTCCATGACAACATGCTGGGATATCGTAGAGAATTCCAGCTTTCACTGTCACAAAAGAGTCACTGACATTAAACTAAAAGCAGCCCTATTCAGACACAAACATCTTTCACGGAAATAGTGGCGACTGGGAAATGAAACATCTATATTTCTGCTCTACAGTACGCAGGCTATCTCATCAAAAGTGTGTTTGGGGTGAATATCCTTCTTTAAGCAACTTGCTTAGATCATATATCCAGAGGCATAAAATGCTGAAACAGCCTCAGTTCTATTGTGAGAACAAAACAGAAAGCATCCCTCTTTTGCCAATGACAAAAAGATGAATTTTCTTTACTACATTGTTCTGCCACACTCTTTCTCCAAGGAGCCCAGGATGCCATGTAGGGTTTTCCCCTCAACCATTCCCTCACAACAAAACTGTAAGGTAGTTTAGGTTGAGAAACAGTGACTGACTCAAGAGAACCCAGTGAGCTTCATTGGAATTTGAACTCGGTCCACAGGAATCTGCCTTTCATCGTTTGTCCATCTAGCCTTGTAAGGTTTAGGAGTAGGCTTACAAGACCTCAAGCTAAGGACTTTTCCCATCACTTGCTACCCAGTAGCTGGTGGCAGGATGGACCACTGGCACTCACCTGACTTCTGGTTGTCTGCAGCAGTGCTGCATCCTGGGACAGAGAGCGGGAGGGGTGGTGAGGTCAGTGCGGTACAAGTGCACCAGCAAGCACAGTGGATTTGCTCTGCCGGTGCATTTGCACTGTGCTGACTTCACCTCCTCCTCACCCCTCACCCTCTCCAACCCAGTGTGCAGCAGTGATGCAGGTGACCAGCGATCAAGTGAGCACTGCCACTCCATCTCACCAACTGCTACTGCAACTACCAGATCCTTTGACCTAAAAATGTCAATGACTGAACCTGGGACTTTCTGCATGATCTGTACCCCCGAGCAATGGGTGCTTCCTTAAATCCTATTTTGTTAAGGATCATTTTATCCCATGTCAGGCATTACTGGGGCAAAAACCCCAATCCCCCAGCTGTCTATGGGGTGCGCAAGCGCAGCAAAAAATTGGCCCATCTCCCCAGACATTGTAGAAAAGAGAACTACATTGCAAGAAGGAACCTTTGTGCTCTCCTTTCCCACAAATAAACAGGTAAAAGGTAAAGGTACCCCTGCCCGTACGGGCCAGTCGTGTCCGACTCTAGGGTTGCGTGCTCATCTCGCTCTAGAGGCCGTGAGCCGGCGCCATCCAAAGACCCTTCCGGGTCACGTGGCCAGCGTGACGAAGCTGCAGCTGGCGAGCCAGCACCAGCGCAGCGCACGGAAACGCCGTTTACCTTCCCGCTATAAAGCAGTCCCTATTTATCTACTTGCACTTAAGAGTGCTTTCGAACTGCTAGGTGGGCAGGAGCTGGGACCGAATGACGGGAGCTCACCCCGCTGCGGGGATTCGAAACGCCGACCATACGATCGGCAAGTCCTAGGCACTGCGGTTTTACCCACAGCGCCACCTGCGTCCCCTCCCCACAAATATACAGCCTTAAAGACACGAGTGACTCTGGAAAGCCAAGATACAAAAGTTATGCAAACTCCAGCCCAAGTGTTACTGTTTATGACGCTTTCTTTCCACAATTCTGCATTATATAAATAATTGGATTCCCTGAGGAAGAAACTATTTTTATCGATCTCTGCAACAGTTATACACCTTCAAACACATTCATGAGGAGCAGAGATGAAATAAACCTATTTACTTTCAGGCAAATATTATTATTTTTAAGCTGGATGAGGGGATACACAAAGGAGAGTTTTAAGAATATTCTCCAAGTTGTTTTTATGTTATTAAGCCTGCCTTAGAATAAACATTGTTTTAGGATGAGTTGGATTAAGACAACAGGATCAAAGGGTTCAAGGCTCCTAAGCACCCTCGCCATCCTTTCATCCTCTAAACCCGGTCTTTTCCTCTCCAGTTTGAGAGAATGAGCCCATACAGTATATGAAAGAAATACTGAGCAACTGCTTTTTAATAAATGTCCAGGATGTTTTTCTGCCTCTATAGCCACTTTTTATGTTATTTGCATGATTTCTTTCTCTTAGGGAGCAATCCTAACTGCCCCTCTCCCAAGCACAACAGGACTTTACAGAATGGCTGGGCCACCAACACACCCACAGCCCTGCCACACACAATGGTAAAGGCAGAATGTGGATGTCAGGCAGATTGCTGTGCCTGCCTCAAGCTGGTGCAGGGATCAGGCCCAGATCGGGTCCAGTTCTGTCACATGGTGTTAGCAGTGCTGGTTTAGAAGCCAGAGGAGCCTGGGCTGGCTCAGTCCCACCTCCTCCTTGCCCCAGAAAGCCCAACAATAAATAAAATAATAAAGTTCAATTGGAGCCACAATGTCTAAGAAAATGTTCCCTGAGGATTCCCCTCTCTCTTGAAAAAGAAGATGGTTTTGCTTAATTTTGCTCTCTACCCCTTTTTTTGTAGGAGCTACCATTTCCCCTCACGATGCCCAAAAAAGGTGTTAGGCCTGAGACATTATGAGGGAATGCAACATGGCAGCCAAGACTGCTTTTTGCATTTGCTGCTGGCAGTGGCAGTGGCAGCAACAACAAAACCCTTAGGATAAAAGAAAGATGGCATGTCACTGTCACTGCTTCAGGTGAGCTTCCCCCACCCCAAATGGATAATATTTCGCCAAATGCCCACCACACAAATATGTTGTCATCTGAGAATGGGGTGAAGAATTTCAGGACATCATTTTCACTCTTCTCTGAAAACAAGCGCCTTCTTTTGATATATGTCAGGATACATCAGACTCTCCAAGTGTCCCTATTTTCCAGGGATGTCCCTGATTTAGAGAAGCCATCCCAGTTTTTTCTTTGATCTTGGAATGTCCCGTTTTTCCCTAGGATGTCCCTATTTTCATTGGAGAAATATTGGGTGGTATGGCATGATGTCCCTATTTTCACTGGATAAATGTTGGTGGGTATGGAGTTATCCGACCCCCAAGCTATCTGAAGGCAACCCAGTATATGGAAGCTTTTTTAATGTTTAATGTTTGAGTATGTTTTTATATATGTTGGAAGCTGCCCAGAGTGCTGGGGCAACCCAATAAGATGTGTGGGGTATAAATAGTAAAATTATCATTATGGGATTTCTCCTTTTTTCATTGGAGAAATGTTGGAGGGTATGGGATACATTTGGATGGATTTGTGTGTGAGGAACTTTCATAATCAATGAAAGCAAGAGCTATAAGTCATTTCGTGTGCATTTTTAACACTTCTGAGGTAAGCCTAAGAACTAGGCCAAAGTATTTGCCGAACAGTATCCTTTTAAATATGTATATTTAATGGAAACTTTTTTTATCTGTTTTCATACAAAAGGTCAAAACCTTCAAGGGCTGAGGGAGAGACGGACCTACATATAAACCTTGGATCCAAAGGCCTGTATAGTAATCTCTAAATGTACAGCAGGGCTCCCAGTCTATTACCTCAGAAACAGCCCACCACTCCCAGTGGCTTACATGGCACTCTTAAAAGTTATGGGGAAGACTTTATTCCCGAATACAGTAACAATAACAACAGCTAGATGAACTGTGTGCACTTGTGCATGATAAAGGAGGGGGGGTTGTTTTTGTTTTTAATCCTCCGCAGTATCATTTCCCTGAAGAAAATGCCTAACCTTAATTCAAGCATGGTAATTGATGAGGGTGTTGCATATGCAATTATGAAGAAGTGAAAGACCCATTACATTTTATTTGAGAACACATTCATGGCACTGTAATTAAGGAGTTTCAAGAAAGAACTCCACTTTTTAATTGTCAGGTAAACACGTAAAAACCCTGCTATTGTACTGTAGAAAACCAGGTGAACTGGAGAGGTGGCGGCAGCAAAGGTTGCTATTTTAAATCTGCTTATTATCCCAATAGCAATTACTTGGGGAGGGGTGGACTTGTATGTTTTAATTTCAAAGAAACTGTGTCATGAAAAATATGAGTGGCCTTTAGAAATGTGTCAGGTTTCTCTGACTAATCAGTCGGCTGTGCAAAATCCTTTGCAAACAAGTGCCTTATTAGCTGCACATTTAAGCTTGCACAATTAATTTCTTGTAACTGAAGACTGCGTTCAAGGGATGTTACACTCCTCATGAAAAATAGCCACATCTCACCCAAACTTCGATTGATGAGAATTTATTTTGGGGAACAGGCAGAGTAAGGGCCTAGGGTACTACACATGACATGATACCAATCACATTGTGTGGATTTAAACATTATACACAAGATTTGTGTTAAATCATTGCCTACTGGAACTTGCCCCCTAATACTAATTGCTTTGGGGCAGGAGATTTTGCAGCTATTGCAGATGGAGAGTGAAGGCTTAAATCTCCCCTCCACATGTACTCCACATGTACAGCAAAATTGGTTACCTAATATTTAATTTAAGAAATGTAGAGGGAGGTTGCTAAACCATAGTTACTTAGTCTCAAAGATTGTGGATATCATAGAGATGTTAGCTACCTTCGGCAAACCTCCAAGTGTCCCTATTTTCCAGGGACAGTCCTGGGTTTACAGAAGCCATCCCCATTTCTGACTGGATCGTGGAATGTCCCTCTTTTCCTTAACACACCCCTATTTTCATCAGAAAGAAAATGTGGAGGGTATGGTAGGATACCCCGAAAGTGGTTGAACTTTTTTTAGAAAGCCACCAAAATGCTTGAGCCCTGGATGTTAATTCTGCCTTTGAAATCCCAGACCTTGGACTTGCATGAGAATAACAAAAAGTCACCCAGGAATTGCTGTGGGTGGCAGAAATGCTGCTGCTCTTCACGTGCTTCGCTTGTTTCTGCACCGCCACACCTTTTACCAGGTGTACTTGTACACTCGTAACACCCTCCACCTCTTGAGCCCAACCCAGTCCCTTTTCCTCCTCTGTGCTCCCGCCCACTACTGAGTCCTGGAGTCGGAGGTTAACTGAGAGAGGATAATAGGGCAGATCCCTTGGAGAGTGTATGCAATAATTTGCAGAGATGGAGGTTAATTGGGAGAGTAGAGGATGAAGGGGAGAAGGGCAGTCTATGCAATATTTTGCAGCTGGCTCCTGCTGGCCTGAAGTTTCCAAGCTGCATGCACAGTCTTCTTAATAAATTTATTTTATAAAGGCACTCTTGTCCACCTGGAGAGTCAAACCCTCCACCTGCCACTAAGAGGGGTAAGCAAACCAGGAGTCTCCAGGTCAGCTCTGGAGATCTGGCAACCCTAGACTGGAATGTGTCTTTGAACTCTGATAATGCCTCTGAATTCTCTGGGTGGAGGATAGAAAGTAGGGTAAGTGTATACAAAAATTAGCCTACTATACAATATGAACCTTTACATTCATGCCCCTGGAAAGTTGCCCAGAAGGGATTGCAGCTCTTGGGCTGAAAAAGGTTCTCCACTCCTGACACAGGCAATGTACTGGTGGAAAAAAGTTGGCAGCAGTGGGTCAGTCTCTGTCTGAGCAACAGAATGCCTGAAACCCACATGTTCCAGGTTCAAATTCAACGTGTCACGGAAGGTAGATACTATAAACCTAAATTCATTAACAGCCCTTTAGTTCTGAGGCAGCTTCTTATAGAAGCATGGAGGTCTGATTTATTCTGCAAGGTGCCAAACTTCTCGACACATTGAGACACATTCGCAAGATTTTGAGAGATTAACAAGAAATGGAACATGCCATTGATGAAGTGGCGCATGTGTCAGTCTGGCACATCTCAGCGCTAACATCTGGGCTCACTTTTAACCCAAGTCCCTCGTCTACATAGTAAATTATGTGTCTC